CTCGGGCGCGACGGGCGGGCGCCTGGAAGTAGAAGTGCGGTGAGCGGGGGCGAGGGGCGTGAGAAAGTTCGGCGCGCAGTGGCGTTCCCCGCAGTGGCCTCCTCTTCCGCGGCGGGGTCAGACGCAGCCCCACTGGCCCCGCTCACCTGCCCCCGAGGTCGACCTTCCCCGGCCCTTCTCGGGGCTCCCGCGGACCGGCTGGGAGAGAGTGGAGCTGGAGGGGGGCGCTGGAGGGAGGAGAGGCCGCCCTTGACCAGGGAAGGGCTCTCGCCGGCATCTCCGGTTTAGGAGCCCTGGAAACCCCCGAGGGGTCCACGAGGGTGGAGTGGGGGGCAGGGCTGGGTGGCGGGATGGAAGTTGGACTGAGGTGGGCGTTCATACTTGTGCGGGGAAGGGTCCCGGCCTCGCTATGATGCCCCGGCAGTGTGCCAAGTGCGCCCCCCTCACTGGTCCTGCCTGGCTCTCCTCGCAGGGAAAAGTCTGAAGACGCTTATGTCCAAGGGGATTCTGCAGGTGCACCCTCCGATCTGCGACTGTCCGGGCTGTCGAATATCCTCCCCGGTGGTGAGATGTGGGAGAAGGTTGGGCTTTGGGGTCTTCTTTCTTCCCTGTGGAGCATGTGCCTCTTTTGTAGAATCCACAATCCTAACCTCAACTCTGCCAGTGTGCAGGAGGGAGACCCAAGGGCAAATAGGTGCGACTTTGCTTGGGGTGGGAATTCTGTGCACCTGGAGTCCGCACCCCTCTGGGTCCTGCCTATCCCCAAGCTTTTTTTGGGGAGACTTGGAGCTGCTTCTCCTGAAGTCCTGGGAACAATCCAGTGTGTGAAAGTTCCCTGGAGAGTGTCTTCCAACTGGCCTGGGGACTCTGCCTGTCACCAGCTTGGGGGGGGGGTTCACCATGTCACCTGGCCCAGCTTGGAATGCTCGTCCTGGGGTGTGACAGTGTTGCCCGGCCCCAGTGTGTGTTCTGGGGTGGCTATAGGCTTGGATGTGTGATGTGCCTCTCTGGGTGCCCACGGCTGGAACCCTGCGGGGCAAGACTGGGTGTAGGACAGTCTGGGGCAACTCTGTGCTGTGTGGGCCTTTGGTAACCAGAACTGAGGCTAGTTGAAGGCTGCCATGGGGCTCCCAACCCAGTGTAGACATCCACTGAGCCCCTCCTGGCCTAGGGGAGTGGAAGGATGGGTGCTGTGCCCACCCTAGCACATGTCCTCCAGGCAGGAGTGGGTGGAGGACTGATCTGAAAAGGAAATTGCATCTTGAGAAGGACCAATTTTGAGCCCCTGGGGGAGAGCCAATTAGAGCCCTGGCTGCATGGTGGGTGGGTTCTGCTGCTCCTATGGGCACCACTGAGCAACCCCCTCTGGCAGGAGGGGGTGGGAGAGGCAGAGGCTGATAATCTGGCTGAGAGGGCCCAGGGCCTCTGGCCTTTGCCTTAGGCTTGTTTTCTTTAGAGCAGCAGTAGGGTGGGGGAGATGTCCTGAGTCCCTCTTGGGCCCTGATGGCAGGTAATCTGGGCAAGCTGGGAAGCCACAGATACACGGTCACAGACAGACATGAGGTCACACGCACAAGTTGGGCAGGGGAGGGGGACTCAGCCAGGTGCCCAATACACACGTTGTCTGACATGAGCTCATCACACACAGGCATATCTGCACACGAGCTCCCAGACAGAGTGTGTGCACAGGCAAGGCAGCCTACCTCCCGCCCACGGCCACCTTGCCTTCTTGGGGCAGGAGACCAAGTTCTCCCTCTACTTCTGCACCCCTTCAAGCAGCTGGTGCAGAAGAGGGGTCCTCTGGGCATCCTCTAGGCTGGCCTGGAGTTTCTGTTCCCTGCCTCTGCCACAAGAGTGGGGAAGCAGGCGGCCTGAGACTAATATCAGTTCCCTTATGGACAGTGCTTGGATGGCAGTTCAGAAAGGGATGGGGACACTGTCCAGGGCTGCCTGCCTGTCTGGGGCTCCCAGATCCCTGCTTTGCATGAGTGATGGCTCAGACCTGGGTCTGCTCTGCTGAGCCTGGTCCCTCCCAGGCCTGTCCCCACACCCTCCCTTAAGAAGGGAGCTCCATGGAACCCCTTGTCTTTCCAGCCTCCACTTTTTCCACACAGAGACTGGCTTCTCCCACCCCCACGGCCAGGTCCACAGGTATGTGTGCACTGCACAGTCACAGATAGTCCAGGGGCAGAATCTGGGTCTGCATGTGGCATAGAGATCACACAGCCACACAAGCAGCCACCCTCCATGTCTTAGGGGCCAGTATTTGGCTGGGGCAGAGGCCCGGCACCCAATTTTCAAATCTTGTGCTGCCGAGCAGGGGTGAGCATCCGAGGTCTCCGGTGTGTGTGGAAGGCATGCATGTCCCAAGTCCTTGGCCAGGGTCAGGGTTCTCCATCATGGTTCCGCTTCTGAGCCCCCCTCCCAGGGGAGCACCCCTAGGAGCCACCCCAGGCCAGCATAGCTGGTCTGGCCTTGTTCCAATCGGCAGTCCTAACCCACCATTTTCCTCTCCACTTCTGTGTCTGCGGACGAGAATCAGAGGGCAGCGCATTTCTTTTCCTTCTTAAGTGGGTTTAATTTGAGCGGAAAAGCAGGAGGCGCAGTCCTGGTGCTTGGCCTACAGCAGGCTAAGGGCAGAGTTGAGCAGGACTTCCCAGCAGAGCTGCACTCCAGACAGGCAGGAGCTGTTCCAAACACTCCCGCAAGCCCACTGCTGGCACATAGAGATGTGGGGACCAGACATTGGTCACCCCTGCAGCCTCACCCAGGCTCTGCTGTTGCTGGTGAAGCACTGGGCCAAGGCCAGGGTCCTAGAGGGGCCACAGAGCAGGCCTTTGTCCTACAGGCTACGCTTAGACTGCACCCCCCTGCCTTCGTGCCAGCCCCCAGCTGCCCAGTCCATCTCACTGAGTGTTGCAGAGAGGAGACAGGATGGTGTCCTGGGTAGGCTCCTGAGGGCAGGTGGGGAGACCAGGGCTCCTGGAGCCTAAGGGGGCGGGGGGCTGTGTGCCTGGAGGTGACGGTGGTCCAGGTCTGAAGAGAACCTTTCCCCTGGAGGACAGGACTGTGATGGCTGCACAGCTGCCCTTAAAGTCCAGATGACACTGGTCCAGGGAGGGACGAGGGCCTCTGTGACACTTTGCTCCTCAAACTCTGGAGGGGGGACATGTTATATCCTGACAACAGAAGAAAGGGGGTTGAAGGAGGCCCCTGAAAAGATGAGAGAGACTTAGATAATCCCAGGGCCCCTGCCACCTCACTGAGCCAGTAACCCACTATTAAATACGAAAGAGCTCCCTGCCCACCAGAAAACAATCACTAACTTTTCTTCCCCTGGGGAGGCAGGACCCGGACACTCGGGATGGTGCCACGGTGTATAGGAAACTTGCTTTGTATGTGTGTGAGCTCTGAGCATGCACAAGTCTGTGTGGAGTGCCCTGGGCATCTGCCCTCCCGGCTCAGGCACCATAGCTCCCTGCCCATGAGCTCTGCCTCATCATCGTGGGCACGGGATGGGGGGCAATGTGGACCTTGTGGAAAACTGGATCTCTCAGGGCTTCTGGGCTGGTCAGGGTTCCCGGCTAGGTGATCTGTGAGCCTCAAGCTTCAGACCCCCTGGGACCTGGGTTCTGTATGGCCGGGTCTCCATCGGGGCTCACAGAGTGAGTCAGGTTCCCAGGCAGACACATGCACATGGAGGGCATAGCATGTTGAAGGGATGACAGGACATACAGACGGTCTGTGTGAGGCAGGCAGGTGACACCTCTGGGCTCTGGGGAGCTGTGGAAGCTGGGTCTGCCTTCCTGTAGCGTCCCCACACGCAGGCTGATGGCCTGGGACAGCTGGGCTGGAGTATGGAGTCTGGACAAGGCAGTGGCCAGAGCAACCTGGCCAGGGCCCACACCCTGAGCCTCAGCCCTGGCCAGGGTGGAAGCTTGTCTATGAAGGGGCTCTGCCCCAGGCCCTGTCTCCCTGCTCTTGGCCTCTGGTCAGCTGTGGCTTTTGCCAACCCTGGAGGCTGGAGGCCCCTCTACTCTTGGCCAGGGCAGCGGGGAGCACGAGCTGGTGACTGTACCTATTTGGTCTTAGTGAGGCTTCTGTCACCTGGGCCTGCCTGGGGGTCGGGCCTGGGGTGCAAGGTACCCAGGGGGCTGAGGGGCCTAACCTTCCTCTCCTACCACTCTGCCCAGAACCGGGGGCGGCTCGCAGACAAGAGGACTATTGCCCTGCCCCCTGCTCGGGTCCTGAAGAAAGAACTGACCCCCGGCTTCTTGGCCAGTGATGGCGACAGCGATGGGAGTGGACCAGCCTATGGGCAGCGGCCGGGCTTGAAGCAGGAGGAGGACCCACACGTCCGTATCATGAAGAGAAGGTACTTCTACTGAGGACGAGGGCATGTAGGGCGCACCGGCCCAGCTGCGGGAGGGGACTTCAGGATGGGTCTCCAGGCAGCTAAAGGCTGACACCCAACCATTGGTACCAGTGGCAGTCCCAGAACTTGCTCCTTGGCCTGGTTCCAGCCCCGCTGGGGTAGCTCTAGACACTAGGAATTTGGGCTTGGTCACATGAGTGACATGCTGAGGAAGCTGCAGCCCCCACCCCAGCACAAGGTGGGGGCTCCTCTGGGCCCACAGCAGAGATATGGCGACTTTAGCTCTGTGCTTCCCAACTCTTTTGATCGATGAAGCCAGGAGCTGGCTGCCCCCCATAGGGCCTGTCCTGGTGGCAGCCACCTGCAGTTGAACTGGTACCAGATGGTAATGGAGACTGGTCTGAGCCAGCGCAGTTCCTTCAGGGCTGGTGCTCTGGGGTGGATGAGGGACACGCCACACGCCCTACTGTTCAGGTACCTGGTCCTAGAGGCCATGCTGACTCTCCGCTTCTTTCCTTGCAGGGTCCACACCCACTGGGATGTGAACATCTCCTTCCGAGAGACATCTTGCAGGTGGGGTCCGGGCCTGGGCCAGGCTTTCCCCCACACACTGTGTGTCTGCTGCTAAATCTCTTCGGCTTCCCACCCTTCCTCCCCTCTTTCGTCTGTGGCCCATCTGTCTGTAGACTTTTGCCTGGGCCTTGGCAGCAGCACAGGTGTAGATTCTGGGCAGCCCAACCCTGGAGCCAGAGTACCCCTCCCACACGAGACTGGCCTTTTGAGGCCATCTGCCCAAAGGTGAGGCCATGGCCTCACCTTCCCACTCTCCCAGAGACTCACCAGGAGGTGAGAATGGTGATGTGTGAGTGAGGTCTTGAAGGAAGCATAGGGGTTCACTAGGGAAAGGGAATGTCTGTGAAGACATGGAGCAATGAAGGAAGGGGATGTGGGAGGGGAGAAGGTGGGGGAAGTCAGCATGTCTGACTCTGGCTTAGTTGGATGCTGCACCTGTGTCTGGCCAGGGAAGGTGCCCAGCCCTGGTGCCTCACACTGCCCACCCCGCTCTGTCTTTGTTTCCCTGGCTCCTTTTGGTTCTGTCCCTCTGTCCTTCTAGTCTCCTGTCTGTCCTTCAGACTCTGTCTGTTCAGTTACACCTGTCTGTCTGCCTTGATAAGCTCTCTCTCTACATCTGTCACTCTGTTTGTCTGTTCATCTGACTCCCATCATCCATCTTCATCTCTCTGTCCATTTTCTGTCCGTTCATCCCTGTCCCTCTATCCGTCTGACCCTGAAGTGGAGGGGTGTGTGCACCAGGCAGCAGGCAGGTGTGGTCCCTGCCCTGTCGAAGCCCCTGAGCTGGCCAGGAGATGGGAAAGGACTGGGCCATGTGACAGTCACTGAGGGAGCCTGGAGGAGCCTAGGAGGAGGGCTGGGGTCTGAGGGGTCCCTTCCTCCAGCCTCCCAGCACACCCTCCTCCACTCAGCCCCACCCACAGCCTCAGAGCCCTGGTAGGAGGGTGTTTTCATGGCTTTGAGAACCTCATGCTGGGATGCCCAGGGCAGGGTTCATGAGTTATCAGTTGGGTGTGTGCAAAGTTTTTTGTGGCATAATTTGTTCAGTGAGTGACCAGAACAGGTTTTCCGGGACAGGGGCAGGCTGTCTTTGGGCCTGTGGAATGAACCGCCAAGGCAACGAGCAGGCTGTCCTGGTTCCCACTGGGCATCACCTCCAAGGGGCTGCAGTACCCCCGAGTACCCAAATGACCGGCCAGTGAGTGAAAGAACTGATGTCTGTAGTCAGGGCAGGACAGACCCAAATGGATGGGGCGTGTTCTCACCTGCTCAGTCACCTCCTGCAGGAGCCCTGGGGACCCAGAAGGGGAAGAGTTGGCCCTGCCTCTAGGCCCCAGCCCCTCCCTGGTGCTGAGACAGCAGCTCACCCTCTGACTCCCCCTTGAGTTGATGAGGATGAGAGAGGGGGTGGATTAACTGCCAATTAGTCCCCTAAAGTACCTCCTCCCACCCCCACCTGCCCTCCTCTCTGCATGGGGGGGCACCTTCTCTCCTGAGGAGAGGTGGGATAGGGAGGGAGCCCAGCCTTGGTGTCTCTGGTGCTGAAACTGATCTGCTTAGGGGACAGCCCTGGATTAGCCGCTCAGCAGCCCAGGCCAGGGGGCGGGGGCTATTTAATGAGGTTTAGGGTTGGTTCCCAGGTCACTCGGTGGAGGTCCTAGGACAGTGGCCCAGCCAGGAGGCTGCTCTGTTACAGGTGGGCCAGGAAGCAAGGGTGCTGGGGAGGTGGGGGGTGGATAGACAGTCCGGTCCCTCCCTGCTTCTCTGTCCTGTCCCGACTTCCTGCGGCTTCAGGCTGTATCTGCAAGGTGGCAGGTGACCCTGTTCTGTGCCAATGGAATGGGGGACCATCTCCATACAGTCACACTGGGATTTCTACACTCCCTCTTCTCTCTGGGGTTCTGTGATACAGGGTTGAGCTTATTTAGCAGGAACAGAAATGAGAAAACAAAAGAGTTAACTACATGCTAACCCCAAGCACCCCCCCCCCCCC